AAACCACAGTATGGTGATAAATGTGAAGAGAATTATCTGAGTGAGGATGATTGCGAAAGCCGAAAGTTTAGCAATATATGTAATTTTAAAATTAAGTAAGGAAAATACGGTGCTCAAATACCAACTGGCTTTTTACGTCATGAACCCAGTAACTGACCAGCTTCATGAGAATAGTTCACTAACCATAAGCCAATAGCTTTTTCTCTCAGCTAATCTTCAAATAAGTACTCTCCTCCAGTTAAAATGGTCCAAATGGTTGTGTATGAGATAGAAGGAGCTTTCGATTTACGAGATTCCGTGTCTAGTAGCAGTGGATTACCAATAAATCCAGGCAGGAACCTAAGTATATTAACGATAAAAGAGGAGAAAGAAAAAAATCGGTAAATCATAGAGAGACATTATCTTTAGTCCTTAAGAATAGGTCAAGTTTCCTCCAAAAGGACTTCTGGGGAGTCGCTTGGACTATTTCAGTCGGCATAAATTCCAGGATTTGATAGCTCTTACGAAGTAGAAGTTGTGTCTACAGTCTGTTCTGCTGTGTTGTGTCTCCAGTTTCTAGGTATTACCCCATAGGTTTGTTTTAAAGCTAAACTTAAGTATGTGTTTAAGGGGATGTTCCGAAGGGTTAAGGATACTATAAGCCATTAGAAGGTTACCTGTAAGACACCTATACCCTAATGGGTTAAGGCTTAGTGAATGGAGAGGCTCTTCATTAGGCTTGAATTTGGGTCCCCGAACTGACTTCGTGGATACGCTTCAGAGTGTCCTTATCCTTTTGGAGTGAGGAAGAAAATACAATATGTCCGTACTCTAAATGGGAACGAATGAGACTGTCGAAGATTACGTGGAAAGTTCTTTCGTCAAACAGTCTCGATAACTGGGCTACATTTAGCACTTTACTTAAGACATATAACATACTTCTGGGGCAAAATATGGTCGCATATGGTTATCATATAAAAAAACCCATTCAAAAGTTCTCAAGGGGTCGACCTCCCAAACTCTTCTAGCTTCAAAAAGAAGATTCTGATGCGCGAGAGCCCAAAACTGCGAATCAAACAGGTGAAGAAACTTTATTATGTAATACAACTATGGGTAGAGATCATCCAACAGTGCTGAAACATAAATGACATACTGTCTTCATTATAATATCCATTTTGAATGCTTTGTGTGTTTGTGAAAATCCCTCCATGTATATACTTGCACTTTGTTTCTATTGATCCTCTTAGTTGTACATTGTTAACTTTTTGACTACATTTGAATTGTTAATATTTGTATTTTATTATGGTTTTTGTTTTTACTACACCTTCACTAATTCCCCGTGTTTCCTCTCAAACTGCACTTATGTTGTTTTACTTTATGCTAAGTCTGGGCGGCAGCCATTTTTGGTTTGTTCCTGCTTTTGATTGCTTGACCTGTGTTGACTGGAATTGTGCATTTTCGTCGTGAATTGAAGCACTCTTCCAGAATTGAAAACACTCCGTGTTATAGAGCGACCAATTATCACCTCTTGAACGAATCTGTACGTGATCTATCCAGACAGGATAGAATAACAATTATTTGTGGTGATTGATTTGATCGATTGAACAATTATTGGTTGGATAGCTGAGTGGTTATATTTGTTTAGAACCATCGTCTTACCCAATTACTTGTTTTGGTTTCAAACGGGCAAGGGCGCGTATCTAACTCATCTAGACAGCTGTCCATCAGTCCAAACCGTAGTTTGGATCTTACATTCATTACGTTGCATAAACTCTCGCATCCAGGTGTTTGAGCAATCATCAGGCTCATAGCAGAACGATTTTGCTGGCCTAATGTGTATTGACATGTAATGGAGTAGAAGAGCACCTGTGGAAGCTACTAGAAACCTAAAGGTGAAGAGACTTAATAGATGTCCCTTGGGTTCTTCAGTAAGCCCGACCGCTTGCTTCGACCACGTTCATCATGATTTGGTGAAGCCTTTGCTGAAATCAGATAGATACCCTTATCTATTAATGTTTGTGGGCCGTTTAACATGATGGCTGGAAGCAAAGCCTATCAAAAGTATTACTTCTTAAACAGTAACTCACGCTTTCGTTGAACAATCACTGTGGCAACTGGACACCAGTTCGGATTTTAACCCAGCCGCTATCTAATAATACTACTAGGAATCACAGGATTCCAAGTGATCGCCTACTATCTGCACGCTAACAGGTTGATAAAACAATTTCACTGACAGTCATAAGCTTCACTTTTAGCTGCAGACATATGATAGTGGATTAAAACTCTTCCATTTCAGTTATTCGGGGTTCACAGAGCAATCAAGGCTGACGTTGAATGAACTACAGGAAAACCATTTACGATCCGACACTTCAAATTCCAAGGGAGATCGTAGATCGTTCATCCGTTTCAGTGAATCTGTATTAGAACTGCTACATCTGCAGGCTACAAAAGCTATGGGTTCGACTAAACCTGCTTCCACTCGGCCGCAATCTAGGGATGTTTTCGTCCAACCCGCCTTACGAATAATTATGCACGTCCTTATACGTAGCATCTCAGTGTGTCGAACCGTCAGAGCTCTATTCGAAAGACCTCATAAGGTTCCTCATCTCGAACCCGAGTACTATACTAGTTGGAACAGAACTGAAGATGACATCAACGTCGACCGGCTAATCGCCCCCTACTTAGAAAGATATCTTTTCCTTGTGAACTCCCAATAAACAACCACACGACACAATCCTCATGATTAAGATGAGACTTGATAAACTCTGAAGCTCAGTAAGCAGGGGAATGTTTTCTTCTATTCGAATCTGTTTAAGGTACGAACAGCTGTGTTTCTTGATTACAGATATTTATGAGGGGACTCATCACAACTTCGACTGGTTATTTAGCCTTTGAAAATGGCTAATTAGTTGCTTGCCATCAAGTCACTCTTTAATAATTGAGGCAATGTCATCATGTCTACTTGGTAAATCATAACTGAACTGAAGTTAAACATGGTAATTGGATAGTACTTCTACCAGCGAATGCGTGGCATTCATAATGATTAGCACCATCATCACGAATGAGAACTGGATCAAGAATAAATGAAGAGTAACGTGAATCATAATGAATGAGGTCTTTGATATGATGGATAAGAGTGAGTGAGGTTGTGGATTCTAAGGGTTTGTAGTCTGTCAAGTTATCTGCTGAATCAGTAAGCCCACTCAGGTGTCACAGAGCCGTAGCCAAATCATCTCTCAAGCACTAACATCTCTTCGTTTATGTCATGTTTGTTTTGTAAGGTTGTTAAAGTTAACACAGTACATGAATACCACAACAGCGTAACTCATGTTATGTGCTAACTTCGAGGTGTGCTTTGTACATAGGTTTGGTGGTCAAACGACTGCCGTCAAGCTATGGTAGACCAGAACATTCAAGTAGATCATCTACACTGGTGATCGGTAAATCAAACTATAATTCAACTCAACTAGTAGAAGATAAACCAAAGCCACGTAAGATCAGGTTTGTGCATCTTATTAAGAAGAAAATATTTTGCTTGAGTTTTATTTTCCTTTATCCCAATGGCCTTGGAGGGTGCACTTTATTTTGTTCACTGACTATGCCTGGAGTGTTTCACGAAAGGATTTTCGTGTCCTGGAAATCAAACATCATCATAAGATTCTCTGAGTTTTAGCGAGTATCTAAATGCATGCCCGGGTACCTCATTTTTGGGTGATCCCACTATTGTAATGTTTCAACGCGTATCAGGTGTTACCCACTCAAATCTTTTAATGCATCTAACACCTAGTTTGGCTGGTCATGTAGAGCCAGCAAAATGTCATCGAGCAATAAGCATATCACTCATCAAGTCAACTACGGCAGCTGTTAAAGAATCCGAAGTTAACCCGTCATAAATTCGCTCAAGCACCGCTAGCAACCCAATATTGCTTAAAATCTTTTAAGTCAAGGAGTCTACATGAAAGGAATTAAATTGAACCAAACAGAGTTCAACTGTTTCTATGGGCCAAAGTAGCTGAAAACAATTTCATAAACGAGGATTAATTCTTTCAATAAATTACAAACAGGTTATGCACGTGAACGTTCTAAGTTATGATCCAAAACAGGCGGAAATAATAAACTATCGGCAACTAAATATGTGTAAAGAAGGAGACGCTGGTCTCATACTGTAAACGGGACCTAATGAAGCTACTTAAATTTAAGAGGGAAGTCATAGTTTGCAACAAGTCGCAGAGCTACCACCTTGAACTTCACAAATTGTTGTCTGGTCAACTTGAAAGTCAAATCCGATTCTACATAGGCTCTAGAATATCATTCAGGCTTCTGATGTCACTCAGTGGCTTTACATGATCAACAAAATAATGTATCGGAGGTTATTGAAGATGTTACAAGTATTATGAGTTTGACAACGCCCTTGCACGATTACCTTTACAACCGAAGTATGACAATCCAGTTAAATCAAGAGTCGGAAAACGAAGGGGTATGGACACATATTTGAAAGGCTATCGATATACATCGGGAAGCGTCTTATCTAACGGTCGTACGAGGTGCGTAGCACAGTGTGCCCACTCGTGATCTGGTGGGAATGTCCGACAGAGCGCCTTCAGCTAGATATGTCTATTTAAACCAGAGAGGCCAGCGTCAAATGTATAAGACTTACGGAACTATTTATTTTGGGGATTTATTTACCGCTACATTGTCAATTGAGGAAGATCATTAATATGAGGCTAAAAGAGCAAAGGAGCAGTAATCGATCGAACGGCATCGGGTAGTGAGTTTTCTCACATACAGGGAAAGATGACTGAAGGGCTGTCAAGCTGTATATTTGGTAAATGGAAGAACGGTAGCGTGGTATAGTGGGCGCCAAGAAATATCATAATCTTGACCATGATAATAATTCCATTAAAATAGTGAAATCAATATAAATTACTGAAAAGCTGATGAAATGGGTTTCTGCTGATTATGATAAACTGAGCCGTAGTACAACGCTACTAATATACAATACTGACATTTTCGATGTTCGTTGTTGGAAGGCCGTCCTTCATTTGGCGGTCTTTAGTCCGTTTTGGTTGGCGGTCTATTTAGGCAGGTCTTTAGTTGTCTGTTTTGCACTGTGTTACTCTCTGACTACTGCTTATGTTTTAAAAGTGTCCACTTTTCTGTGATATAGAATTCCTTAGACGACAGGGACCAAATGGGAACTCAATTAATGTGTGAGAATATTAATATTCATCTACAGATCCTTCCAGGTATATCAGATCCACTTAAATTCCTCTTCTATCCATCGAATTGGGCACTAGTACAACAGTTCACCCTTCACCCTTGTTCATATTTTCACTCTAGAAGTTGTGTTAGAAAGTGTGTACTTTGATAATAATATTAAGTATGATCAAAAGTCATTCGTTAACGTTCAAGTGATGCTGAATGGTATTCTGAGATGTATAGACATCCAGAAAATTCAGGACTAGATGGTTCTATATTTTTAGTCTCAAGTGGGGTTGTAGGTTTTCACGACTGATCATAAAGAAATTATAACTAGTTACATGGGGTGGTTTGATAGCCTTCCCTAACTTTGCTATACTGAATTAGTAATCTGTTGACAGTCCAAACAATGTAGGACGCTAAATTCCAAGAGTTTTTGGTTGACACAGTTTTTAAGTGGTAGTGTTAAGGTATGCACTCACTCAGTGAATCCTAACATGACTCGAGATTCGTCTTCGCTAATAAACGTCAGTCCGGAAATTTACTGAAAGATGCCACCAAATTAGCCATATCCTGGGATCAACATCATGATTGTTTGCGTTTTAATGATTGTACTATCACAGTATATATTATCTTCCCCGTTGAGATATTTGATACAGTAAGGATACCGGTAACAATAGTTACCGTATTACAACTTAACTATTAATAATCAGATAACTGATTATCTACAAACAATTATGTATTCATAAATGCAGAGGTCGTTTATCAGTTTATATAATCGTGTACTTTAGGTGACTATCTCTGACTTTTTGACTGCCCAGTCCTAAACCCTTTAGCTCCTCTATTTCTCCTCATCATTATGCCATTTTATGTGATATATTTCTTGTCTAGCGAATTTAATAAGTCACTCAGCAACAACGTAGAACTTCGTGCGCACGTACATCAGTTCAAGTTGCCATACCAAATTAGCACAGAGATACAATTGTCCATCCAAACCTCATAGTGGTAGGAGTAGTAAAAGTATAAGTAGTAATCGGAAAGATTAGGGTTTGAAGATGTTATTCAAGGAGTATAATCCAGTGAAATAAATTTAGCGAAAGAGAAACAGGGCATGAAGAATCCAGAAGATTAGGATTTGGAAGGACACAAATGCCCTGGTATGGCCGAGAGTGAGGTGGGCCTGCCCTCCCTCTCGAAATGCTCTCACACGGCCACGCGTATACAGCCTCTGCCATAGAAGTCCTACTCACTGCCTTCTCGTGGCGGTGTTGTTTACGGAAACGAAAAACGAATGTCCAGTATCCTGCGGGAACAAATGACGTGTGAACCAATCGTTGGTCACCGGCTCCTATGGGACTGCATCTCCTCACGATGCTCCACTGTCTTGTGAGTCAGACCTTTAGGTCAAAAGCTCGGGGTGTGGCTCCTTAAGAAAACCACCTGCTTCGGTCTGGGTACCCGGGCGGTATCACAGCCCACACACAAATATGATGAAATGTCGATATTTATGGAAAGTGCTTGTCTTGCTTTGATTAACAATCAAACGATTCACATTATTATTATTATTATTTACGTCATTTATTTACTCTCTTTTATTCCCACTCTGTGTATCCTTAATTTTCGGTTTATACAGCAGCTCGCCTATGGTGGAAACTTGGTTCTATCTAAGCGTTCTCGAGTCACTGACTGGTTAAAAACTGTATGCTACCACCGAATACGAATACTGAAGCAATTTTTCTGAAACCACGTGCAACATTCAAATTGACTGTCTTCAACGTCCGCACACTTATGCAGGTCAGACAACAGATAGGGCTAACTATGTCTTTGGAAAGTCTTAATATCGACGTTTGTTGTCTATCCCAGACCCGTATTCAAGACTAGTGAAATACTACAAATTCGATCTCCATCTGTCGCTTCGAAAAGCTTGTTTTACGTGCTTTTATCCGGGGACCCTGTGGCATCTTCGTCTGGTCTTGCTGGCGTTGGTGTCGCACAAAGCGCTAGAGCTGAGGCAGCACTAATCGATCGGATCCCCAATGACAGTCGGTTATGTTCTGTTGGATTAAAAAGTTCAATCAAAGTGAGAAACGATATCTTTTCGTCATCTCCGTCTATGCCCTGACAAATTGCAGCCCGGATGCAATCAAGGATGAGTTTTACCACCAGTTATCTGTTCTTCTCCAGAAAGTGTGTTCGACAGATATTGTAGTACTAGCCGGAGACTTGAATGCTCAGGTCAGGCGTCTAGGCACAGAACAGAGTCGTTAAGGTGGCCGATGGGACCATCTACTGCAACTGTGCACAGACCACAACCTGTTTCTGGCTAGCACTAACTTACGGCACAGTCATCGCCGATGTGCCACCTGGCGTCCTCCCTCTGCATCTCAAGCATGGACTCAGATTGATCACATCGCGATCAGCTACCGCTGGCGTGGTTGTGTACAAGACTGCCGCCCCTTTTGAAGTGCCTATCTGGACTCTGGTCATACACTGGTCTGCGCCGATCTTACCTTACTTTTCAGTGGCCAACGAAGTGACCGCCACCAAAGGATCGATGTCAGCAAGTTGGTTACAACCTCTGTTACAAATAAGTATCGAACCGAGCTAGCTTCTAGGTTAGCTACCATTCCACCGAAAAGTATGGATAAGCATTGGTTGAAACTTCATGGCGCCCTGAAAATGGTGAGTAAAGTCACTTGTGGGTTCGCGAAACGTCCCGCTTATAAGCACTGGGTTTCTTCAGGTTCCTTACAACTCATTGAAGCCCGTCGGTCTACTCCGGGTGACCGTGAGTTTGGCCACAAACGAAGGATGTTACGTAATGAAATTGAGAAAAGCTTGTGTAAGGACCGAAAAGCCTGGTGGTCGGAACGTGATAATGAGTTGGAAGCAGCAACTGCGTCTGGTAACTACCGGAAGCTCTTCCAACTCATCCGATCCACTGTCAGCAAGAAGTCTGGTGTGAGCGAAACAATTTGCGAGGATGACGGGATGCCAATCACTAACATCGACGTCTTGAACGGTGGGCAGAATTCTTCGAAGGGCAGTTCAACTGGCCTGCTGCTCCGGCAACATCTGTCGGACTGTCCTGCCCTCCATGACCGATGACGACTGATCCACCAAACGAGGAGGAAGTCCGCAAGGAACTCCAACTCTTGAAGCGTTACAAATCACCTGGCCCAGATGACTTACCTCCGGCTCTTTTTAAAGATGGTGGTGACTTTTTGACTAAGGAATTGACGACGTTGTTTACAAAGGTTTGGGAACTAGAGAGTGTACCAAGGTCATGGAATGAGTCGATAGTTGTCCCTATCTTTAAAAAGGGTTCACGTCGTTCCTGTAACAACTATCGGAGGATAAGTTTACTTCCGATTGCGTCCAAGCTATTGGCTTCCGTCATACTTCGTAGGTTGTTCAAAACCCGAGAAAGATTGACTCGCGAGGAGCAGGATGGGATTCGTTCTGGTCGAGGATGTATTGATCATATTTTCACCCTCCGCCAAATGTTAGAACACCGCCATACTTATCACAGGCCAACAATCGTAGTGTTTCTTGGCATTAAGGCTGCCTTCGATTCGTTGGGTAGGACTGTTCTCTGGGATTGTCTATTGAAGAAGAGTGTGCCTGAGAAGTTTATTAACATCCTAAAGGCCCTATATACAAACACCTCAGGCAGAGCGAGGGCATACAACCACCTCTCTCCATTGTTCCATTCGAGCAATGGGGTTAGGTGGGGTTGCCCAATCTCACCATTCCTCTTCAACTTTGCCATCGATGACATTCTGGAAACAGCTCTGATGGATGTAAGTAATGGTGGTGTGGATCTGTTGCCTGGAGAAAGACTTCTCGACCTTGAGTATGCGGACGATATTGTCTTACTGTGCGATAATGCCCAAGCCATGCAATCCACACTTAATCAGTTGGCAATCAGTGTCCGTAGGTATGGTATGTACCTTGCACCTTCTAAGTGCAAAGTACTTCTACAAGATTGGAAGGATTCTAATCCTGTGCTCACCTTGGATGGTGAGCAGATAGAAGTAGTCGAGATGTTCGTGTACCTGGGTAGCTGCATAAGTGCTGGTGGTGGCGTGAGTGATGAGATCAATTCACGTATAGTGAAAGCCAGAGTGACTTATGCCAATCTGGGCCATCTTTGGTGTCTTCGTGATGTTAGTCTGGCTGCAAACGGTCGGATTTACAACGCGTCGGTGAGAGCAGTTTTGCTGTATGCTTGTGAAACCTGGCTCCTCCAAGTTGACGGTGTTAGTCGACTCTCTGTGTTTGATCATCGTTGTCTGCGAAGGATTGCTGACATCCAGTGGCAACACCATGTTAGTAATGCAGAGGTTCGGCATGGTGTGTTCGAGCACAGAGACGATAATGCAATTGGTGTCACCATCTTAAAACATTGACTTCGGTGGCTTGGACATGTTCTACGAATGTCGTCCCAGAGAATTCCACGTCGTGGATTATTTGCCGACTCTGGGACTGGTTGGAAGAAGCGGAGAGGTGGTCAGTATATGACATGGTGTCGTGGCATGAAAGAAAGCTGCAAAGGACTGGCTTCTGTTGGTCCTTCACGACTCCCTGACTGGGTTCCGAGATATGGTGCGACACAGTGGCTAGAGACGCTATCAGATATGGCTGAGAATAGAAGCCAGTGGCGATCCTGCTGTAACCTTCTTTTACTTTCTTTATAAAAATGGTCGTTTCTTCCTTAACTGAAAGATTTCTTCTGATTGTACCTTTCCGTTTCCGCCATTATTATTATTATTTATTATTATTACACTACCTTACACTAATCTGTTCGTTATTGTTCTTTTTTTACGCTCCTTACATTCTTTTTTTTCTCTTCGAACTCTCATTGTTTCGTGTGGCGCATACATATTTGGTGCCCTCTTGTACCAATATTTGTGTTCAAATAAATAAATGAATAAACACAAAGAGTAGATGCGCCTGCGTCATTGCAAACGATTTTGAGCTATGTCATTCAAGGTCTCTAACCATCGGTTGCTATCGTCTCGCGGATCCCAACCAGGTAGCCTACACCTAACAACATGGATCAGTTCACTTGTCAGTGACTTCATGGATTTGTGCCATGTTTTGGTCTGGCCGCCCCTAGCTTTCTTCCAACCTACTCCTATACCACTGAACATCGCACGTCGAGGCAGTCGGTCGTTGGGCATACGTAACACGTGTCACAACCATCTCAACTGATGAAGTTTCACTACTTCATCAATCGATTTGCCATCCTTACCTAGTACCCGTTTCCTAACAACTGAATTACTTACTCGATGGTCCCAGGATATACGAGCAATGTTTCGAAGACACCTATGATCAAATACTAGTAACCTACGAATAACCTCTACTCTTACTGGCCATGTTTCACTGCCACAAAGTAAGACGGGACGAACTGTTGCGTAATAAACCCGTCCTTTGGTTGGTAGACGGATATCTTGCCCACGCCATAAATGACGCAAGTTGGCAAAAGCTAGTCGAACCTTTTGTATCCGTCCTGAGATCTCGTCACACACTAGACCGCAAGGGCTGGTGAGACTCCCATGATAAGTGAATCGGTCGACACGCTCAACTATTTCACTCCCTATCATTAGTTCAGGTGCCGATGCAACCCAATCCTGAAGCAACATTTTGCAATTCGAGAGGGTGAATCGCATCCTGAACACGCTTGTATTGTTGCTTACAGTAGTCAGAAGATTGAATTTTATCATCGTCTTCACCAAATAAAACTGTCGTCGGCATATTCTAAGTCAACAAGTGAATCTCCCAGTAGAAGTTTAACTCCTGGAAATCTAAAAGCACGTTAGCGACAAAGTTAAACAAGAATGGTGAGAGTGGGCATCCCTGACGAACACCACTTGAGGTAATCAATTCTGATGACAGTTCGCCACAAGCTCTCACTCGACCAGTTGTGTTCAAGTAGAGAGCATTTACAAGGTTAATGTACTTCTTTGGTACTCCTTTCAATGACAAACACTGCCATTGAACCTTACGATCAACAGAGTCAAATGCCGCCTTAAGGTCGAGAAATACTACGATTGTGGGGCGTCTGAATGTGTGTCTGTGTTCTAGGACCTGACGTAGTGTGAATATCTGGTCTATACAACCACGTCCAGGTCGAAAACCAGCCTGGTTTTCTCTAGTCTGCTCTTCACGAGCTTTGATTAGGCGTCGAAGTATTATTGAAGCTAATATTTTAGACACTATATTTGTCAAACTGATTCCTCTTTGATTGTTACAAGAGGACTTTTGTCCTTTCTCATAGACTGGCACAATCAGTGATTGGGATCAATCAGGTGGCATTACGTCCAGTTCCCAAATTCTACCTAAGACCTCAGTTAATCTCCCTGCTAATACTGGACCACCATCCTTAAAAACCTCAGGAGTAAACCTGTCAGGACCTGGTGCTTTTCCTCGCTTCAGATTTCCTTTGGTTTTTTCAACTTCGTAAAGAGTTGGGGGACTTATACGAACTTTCCATTCAGGTAGACTGGAGATCGTGAGAAACCGAAATGTGGATGAAGGCCAGTTGAACTGATCTCTAAAATCGATCCAATCTCCTGAATCGTGTAGTCGTAGCTTGCTCGGTTCAATTTTACTTGACTAAATTACAAGCAAATTCTGTTTTTTAATTTAAAGCATTTACACAAGCCGTCTATAGTCACCAACAATCGGCCTCCATCTAGCTGAAGACCACTTTTGTCTGTTCTTTGTACTCAATGCATTTACTGGAGATGATAAGACTTCTAAATTTTTGTTCTGCCTGCGTGTTTATATATTTGTTTGTCTACTTCAATCAGAAATATTTGTACAGACTCATGAATGCTTTTTGTTGCCACAGTATTCACACCTAGTGAAAAGTATGTTTATACATAGTCTTCCTGTTTTCTTCCCATTCACATCTTAATACTTCTCAAAAGTTATCATTTGACTAGTAATATACATGGGAACATGTTTTGTTCTGTGACAGTTTAGCTTTAACAAGATTTGCTTTTTATATGGGTACAGGTTGTTGTTCGCAATTACAATTCAACCGTTATTTTCTCAATTATGGGGCCAGTTTTATTTTATAAAGCGTCTTTGCAAATATTTTGTTAGTCATGTTTTAATTCACTTAATTTTTCTTAAAAACATTTGACATCTTCGTATATTGTCCACATATTGACACGAATCTAAGTTCCTCCCAAAGATTAGCAGGATTTGGAATCAAGATTTGTCTAGGTAAAATGTAGACCACACCTCAGGTCATAAAGAAATAGTTATATACATAAGTAACAATTAAGTTATGAAGCTTTGATTTAATAAGCTATTCACTCTACCACTAGCAATCATTGAATCATGAGTCATAGACTCAAATGCCCTGGTACGGCCGAGGGTGGGGAGAATCATCTCTCCCTCGCGGAACGCTCTCACATGGCTACGTGTATACAGCCACTGCCAGGAATGTCCTACTCATTGCCTTCTTGCAGTGGGGGTGTTGTATACGAGTTGATCGGTACAGAGGAGTTGGAAAACCCTGACTCCAAACTAGTGGTGCACATGGGCTTCAGGATATTGAGAGAACAAATAGCGTATAACCCTATTTTTGGTCACCGGCTACCATGGGACTGCATCTCTATACTTTACGTTGCTCCACTGCCTTGTGGATTAGACCTTTAGACCAAAAACTTGGATAGTGGCCTCCTAATAAAACCACCTGCTGCGGTTTGGGTGCACGGACAGTATCCCAGCGCTCACACAAGTGGAATGATTTATGTGGAGCATATTTATTTGGTGCCTCCTTGTACCAATGTTCATGCTTATAGACCCAGGTCACGGAATGATTTCACTAAGTTATATCCTATTGCTGAAGTTGTAAATTTTTACTAATAAATTGGTTTGTGACCTGTTTAACTGCCATATTGGGTGTTGTTACTAAAACTGTAGTGCTAACTAAAGTAAGTGTGCTATTTAGTGTGTATTTATTTTCCCTAACTTGTCCTTTTCCTTCTGACCTTTTAGTTCTCACTTTCTCCTATATGATGTTCGTGTTGAATAATGGGAGTTCACTTCCCCCACTGAATCTTATAACCATGGCTACTGTAATCGAAGCAAATGGGCCAGTTTACAATGGACCTGGAGCCAGCAAACCTAGCTCCCCATTTGTACTCTGTAATCTTGAGTTATCTCAGCGTGCTGCTGTAGAAAAGGCCAAAAAGTATGCAATGGAACAAAGTATACGTTCGGTGCTTTTGCGTCAAACTCAGTCACAGCAGTCTCTTCAACTAAATAATATAAAAAAGAATCAAACTGTTGCACTTCTGAATCGGGTTTACGTTGGTTCAATAGCATATGATGTAAAGGAAGACAGTTTAAAACAAGTGTTTTCACCATTTGGTCCTATTAAGTCTGTGAATTTAAGTTGGGATCCTTCTACACAAAAGCATAAAGGGTTCGCATTTCTTGAGTTTGAATACCCCGAAGCTGCACAATTAGCTATTGACCAAATGAACGGTACTAGCTTTGGTGGGAGGCAGTTAAAAGTTGGTAGACCAAGTAACCTAACAAACGCCGAACCTGTCATAAATGAGCTAGTTAATGAGCACAATCTTCATAACCGCATTTACGTTGCTGGCATACACTTAGATCTCACTGAAGATGATGTTTCTTTAGTATTTGAAGCTTTTGGGAAAATAGTGTTTTGCAAGTATGTTTCTGCAAATATACACAACCATTTGTTTCTAGGCTTCAACCTGATCCAACTAGACCGATGCGCCATAGAGGTTTTGGTTACATAGAATATGAATCCACTCAGAGTGCAGCTGATGCTGTTGGTAGCATGAATCAGTTCAATCTTGGTGGACAGCTTTTGAGAGTATGCAAAGCTATCTCACCCCCCGATGGTATTTCAAGTGCCAGTTCTTCTAATCTCCCACCAGCGGCAGCAGTGGCTGCGGCTTCGGCCACTGCCAAAGTTCTATCAATGGAAACAGAGCAGGTAATTATTGACATCATAGCTAGTTCATCTTCTTAGTTGGTTAGTATGTATTTTAAAGGCCTCTTTTTTTCTTATTATAGCTCCCTGTGAATTCTTATTCAAAGCAACCCGAAGTGGCTCATCCTGTAGTACTGAATACTCTGTCCTCCACAACAACACAGTCTACCAATCTTACCAACAGCTCTTTACCTACATGTTCTCCCACAACAGTCCCAACTACTGGTCAACCAACACTTGATCAGCCCTCATTAAGTGGTAAATCTATAATTTCTCACTTTATCCCAGCTAAATAATTTTGATGTCAGTCTCTATGTGTTTGCTAGTTTAATCTGCTAATTTGTGAATATTCCGCAAGTTTTCTCAGGTCCAATAATAATAATAATAATAATAATAATAATAATAATAATAATAATAATAATAAGGTTACTGACACTACTGTATGTACCTAAACGACCAGTAGTCTACGTAATATTCTAATCTACCCCCAAAACTACTAATTAAAACTCAATGAATTCTAGGCACGTACATCGTACTATTCTGCACCATTCTTATGTGATTATGTATTATAAAATACAAGACTATTGTGCACCAAAAGTAAATACTTATATATTCACTTTTATGCCTCTCATACTCTGGATTGTCCCTCAAACTGGCAACTAATACCCTTTAAGTTGAAAGTGATGGTTATTCAGCATTCTGAATATATCGTTTAATTACAATTTTATTCTTGTGCCTGAGAAGACATATATGGGTAAAGTCAAAAATGCTAATAACAGACTTAAAGCACTAAACCTTGAAATCTTCCTCTTGTTTGCAATTGTAATCTGACGCTTTACACGTGAATAATGTTTGATTCTGATTTATTTGGTCATAAATATGCTTCAGAAATTTAAATTCTATATATTCGTTCTACAGAATTCCGTTTCAATTTTTTAGGTAGAATAGTTTCTTCGTATCCCCTCATAATAGTACTATGTTTTATGTATGGTTTTATTATGATATTAATGTTCATTAGATTAACTATTGATACTCAAACTTAGTAACTCGATCTTTTACTCACGTTTTAAAATTTTTTAACAGCTGACTTTAATGCAACATTCACACATGTGAATAATTACAATGAGAATTCTAATGCTGTTGCTGTAGGGACTTGGCAACCTGAGGTGCCTGGGCAATATTCACATGCCCAACCCTCCTCTGCATCTCCAAGTAGCTTCACATCTCATTCTGCTTCCTCCGGAAATCCAAACTTTTTCTCAGGCGGGTAAGTATGAGCATTTTGAAATATACATCAATTTCTTGTTTAAAAACTAGGTATAGTATCACTTTATATGTTTGTTAAGTTCGTTTTCCTCTCTGCTAATTTTTTCCAACCATTGCTGCTATCTTGACGTAGTGGTCGAGCCTGTCTATCATGATGAACCAATAGGCCCCCACTAGCTGGGACAATCGTTCCTCAAGGTCCTACCATGCCAGATATGTCGGTTGAAGAACGGTAAGATTGAAAGCAAAAACCCAAGATCCTAGGGCGAATTCATACTGCTGCACATGAAACAGGTTTTTTAGGGCGACAGATGAAGAGCGAGTTTGTAGTGCTTCACTAGTGTCTCGGATATAGTTCTCATACAGACTATGGACATCGATGTTGAAACTTTCTAAAGACTTTCTATATTTTCTGATCTGCATTAGTGTGCGACGTTAAAGGAGGCCAGTTTGAATGGCACATGTGGTTTCAGAAAAGCTGGTTCAGAATTCGTATTTGATGGCAGCGTTCAACTTTCGACTGGTCTGTGACTTGATATTGTTTAGATAGGACAGGATTTCCACCATAGGCGAGCTGTTGTATTAGTTGAAAAATAAAAGAATACACAAAGGGGAATAAAAGCGAATAGACAAGTGACGCAATGTAAAATATAAACGAATGTTATCAAATAGTCGTGAATACAATTTTCGTGAGTGAGAATAATTTCTCCACTTGTAGTCATTTAAATTCTGTGAGGGTTAGGATACTACGTGAGTGCCCGAACTAAACGGAGTAGTTATCTTAGGAAGCTACCTCCCGAGTCTTGACCTATAGGTCTAATAATGCAGTGGAGCAACGTTATGAGATACGGTCTCGTGGTAACCGGTAACCAAGATTAGGTTCACGCGTCACTTGCTTCTTTAAGATCCTGGAGTCCATGTACACTATTGGTTCGGAACCAAGGTTTTCTAATTCTCTTAGGTGGATCCTCTGTAGCAAGAATTGTATATAGTAGTAAACCAACATTATTAATGAGAAATAAGTTTTGATACTATAAAGTCCAAAATTTTGGTTCGGGTTTGCAGCTGCTGTATGTGATCAATTTTTCATCGTTCAGAAATTATACACTTCAGTGATTTTCCGTTGTGAATCATCCATTGACTCAGGCTTTTGAAATAATCTTTTCAGTCATTCTAATTATTCATTATCATATTTGTGGAGGACGATAATAGCTGTCACAGTCCAATGATTGTTCGGTCAAACCCTCCTCACATAATACCCAAACTTTAAATCGCTGTTCAGTTGTTTTATGCATTCACAAAGGTGCATATGTTTTAATCAGAGTTGTGGACCTATTGTAAACAAGGTGATCCTCATCTTCTAATTGTGATTAAAAAGTAATATGGTCATTGTGTTCACCGTCAATAGTCTTCCCTTTTATGTCTTCCAATCAGCCCAGGCATAAATAATGTTGAATTAGTTGCAGGATACAACCATTATTAGTTTCGTCAGATTAAAGTCCCAGAAAAACCCTATTTCCCTCTTGCTTTTGGCTCCAGTTTTCTCATATACCATCCGTTATGATGAATGGATCTGCACCATATTTCTTATCAAAAGCTAAGCATCTAGGTACTGCTGATTGTTCTGGTCGTCCTAACCGGTCATTAAATCTACTGGCATTGGTCCTTTCCTACTTCAATAAAGTGATTCAGTCAAGCAATGTACATCCCATTATCAGTTGGGATTTAATGTGAGAAGTACCTTTTTCGTTTTTGAACTTAATATTATAGCCACACAAACATTCCTTCTCAGTCAGCAAATTCTAAACTAACTTAGCTCGAATTCGTTATTATGAAATGTAAAACTAACCGTCTCAGGTATGAGTTACAGTTGGGGATCACCTCATAATTTAGAAGTCATGAGCTATACTGTGGTTACAGCATTGATCTCATACGTAAAATTCGTTAGTCTTCCGTTTTATACGGTCATGTTCCACAGCGCTTGTGTGGATCAGATCACTTTATTACATAGTAAATTAGTTGTTTGATAGGTGTATCGATATTTCTTCGGTTCTTTGAACGTAGTAAATCGCTATTTATATTAAACTTTTGAAATCCCTAATGATGTGAAGATTATCAAGTTTTAACAGTATCTTAATGACAAGTTAGTTACCACGTCTCATTTCTTGTTTCTAACAAAATATGTGTAATAGAATCATTGTTTAATTGTTATTAGTGTCAATTGTGTAACTGACCTAATTTGTTGACATGGCAGTGATCTGTCATTGGAATGGTTAACAAACAGATTGTCAATGTTGTCTCAACTGCTAAAATCCCTAATAGTTACAGTTTTCTCTATAAAGATTATATCTCCAAGGAGTTCATGGCAATGTATGTTCCGGTAGCATATCTTGTTTTGGATTTATTATCCATGACACGTAGAACTATGGGGTAGACTCAGCTTATGGAGTCATGATTATATTCTTTAGAATTCTTTCTAGATTATCATCTAAATAATTTGTCTAATTTTCTGTGTTTTTATATCACCTTCCAAGGGTGAAAAATGTCCTTGATTAGGAATGTTTTTTGATCATACCATATTGGTGTACTGTTCGCTGAAAAATCTGATAACTCATTTAGGTAGATTATACTAATTATGTCTATTATAGCACTCTTATTGTGAGGTGTTTTAATATACTCAAATATTATGACTTCACATCTGCAGCATAGCCTCTGCCAGGGAAGTCCTACTCACTGCCTTCTCGAACCAGGGGTGTTGTTTACGAAATTGAGGACGAAAAGCGAATGTCCAATAGGAGCTTTAACCGGGTTGGTGGACATGGAGAGTCCACCTAGGAGAGTTGAAAAACCCTGATTCCAAACCAATGGTGTACATGGGCTCCAGTACCCTGAGGGAAAAAATGGCGTATGAACCAATCGTTGGTCACCGGCCATCATGGGACTGCATCTCTTTACGATGCTCCACTGCCTTGTGGATCAGAACTTTAGGTCAAAGGCTCCGGGTGTGGCCCCCTAAGAAAACCACCTGCTCCGGTTCGGGCACCCGGGCGGTGTCACAGCCCTCACACAAATCAAATGAGATTTGTCTGGCGCATATGTATCTGGTGCCCCCATGTACCAGTATTTATGTGTTCAAATAAATAAATACAGTTTGATGCCAAGTACAGAATTGTAGGTTATACTAATTTTATCACGTACCTGATTGATAATCAGTGAAAGCAACACTAATAAAAGTTCCATGTTCGATTACGTAAGTGGCCTCATAATCATTTAAACGATTCGTAGGGCATATATGACACATAACTTCCAACATCAGTTCTAGTGTTTTAACTGTATGGTTTTATTACAGTGAGCTGTGACCTAGTTGTAACCTGAATGCTTAATTTGTTGTATTAAGAAAGTTATTGCCTGAATATTCAACAAGAATTTGAGTCGTTAAGACTTAGATATGGGTGGGATTTTTTTTGCCTAATAATTATTTTCTAGTGTCTTTTGATTCTAAACAGTTGGTTTACCTTTTGGTATTTTTGTTTCCAGTGTTTTGATTTTACGTAATATGGTCGGTCCAGAAGATTGTGATGACGAACTGGAAGGAGAAGTGGCCGGAGAGTGTTCTAAATATGGATCGGTTGAAAAAGTGTTAATTCACCAAGACAGTGCTCATGAGACAAATGAAGAATTCGTCAATATTTTTGTTGTATTTTCTGACCCGTGTTCAGTACACAATGCTGCAAATGCATTAAATAAGCGCTACTTCGCTGGAAGACAAATAACTGCCGAGCCATATGATGTGGAAGCTTTTATGATGAATGACTTATCTCGTTAACTTTTTAGGTGTACCGTTTCTTCTAACAGCCTTGTTTCTTGTAAATACTAAATATAGACATGATTTTGACGTTATTTTCAGAGACTATCTGCAAGTACTTGTTTCAAAGTGTAATGGATTATGGTGTATCAATGTTTGTTAAACGAAGTTGAGCAGGCTAATTTCTCTACGCAATTCACACACAATCCAATTTATCTAAAAAAACTTAAGTAAAGCGTAGTTAGTAGCTTAGCCTAACTCTCAGTGTGCCAAAGTTACTGTGGATGGATTTAAAGATAATCGTTAGAACAGTAGAAATTCTAATTCGAATACACAGTAAAATATGAATAGAGCAAAGAAGCATTTCTTTCCAACTAGTTTTTCTTCATAGTTCTGGATTTTAATATGTATAATTACAGTAATGATAATTAATGGAGTAGTGGTGTAATTATAATTTCACAGATGATTACGGAAATAATGTCGAATGACTGAGTAGTTGGAAAGGTGATTGACTAATCATTTGTAGAAATCGAATACGTCTGGTTAACTTCCTAACTGTTGGTTGATAGCTCAACAAGTATATCTATGGGGACTTGACATTCTGACGTCGTCGGTCCCCGAGAACTACAACGAAGCCTCCAGAGGCCCTAAAGGAACCGAAGAGTTCCAGCCAATCAGAACATAATGGAGCCTTCTAGAATATCGACGTGGCATGCTACTATTAGTCAGTAGCACAATATGTCTCCTAGCGGATTGGCCAAAATATAATGTTGATTTAACAAATGCTAATATCTATAAATACCCGTGTTTTTCTGTACAAGAACGAACCTTTGGGGTAAAGTGCTTCTCGCATAAAAAATCGTCATAACTTTTTACCCGTGTGCCCTGTTTATTGCATAACGTAATGATAACGCCAATTAGAGAGCAGTGAATTATCGACCGGACCAGTGACGCATAAAACCCGTACGGCCAGTCTAGAGTCCTTATTGGTCCTGCTTTCTGCCTAGCCCAGCCAGTTGAATCCAGAACACCAATCTCAGCCTCTGCAATATGAATCACTTATTTCAAGCATGCTGGGTTTACATACCAACCAGACAGACCACAACGTAGCATAAAATAGGAAATAACATTAGTACAAGAATTAGCCAAATGTGGCTGTGAATAGGGAAGGTAGTAATTAATACACAGGGCATAATTCAAGAATGGTAGATCGTATAATAATAGTTCATAGATCGAAATAAAGTTTGTAATAAGAGGGACATGAATATGAACAGTTTAGTCACTTAACAATTATACGATAAAAATATGTACATATTATTTGTCCATAAATGGATCCCAGAAGTTGCCATTCTTTATTCTTATCGGGACATAACACAAACATTTTAACATAACGAAACTATGAATGAAGAACTACGAACATGCGTTCATGTTACTTATAAATATTCCCTAATATCTCTGACGTAAATCGGAGTTACGAGTAAGTGTTATGCTTGGGTTTCAAATAAGCTATAATTTCACCGCCTTTAATATGACCAGTGGCGTTTTTTCTGTTGCTTATCATGTAAAGTGACAGTCCGCTTCTCTGGCATAACCAGTTATCTGTGATTGCATTGGAGAAAAAGCCGTTGCTTCATTCAGCATACTTCAGGTTTTATCCTGTTTACACGATTACGCAACATATTCCATATTATTGCCACTGTATATATCACTTTTTAGGTCTTAACTAATGATCATACCAAAATAGTCAATCGCACTTGCGAGTTTAACTTCCCAATCTGAATTACTAAGTTCATCATCTGAATTTACACAGCTGGTGAGATCAAACTTGTGATGGAAGATCAGACCGTGAAAAAGTCGTCCTATCTCCCGGAAAAGGATGGGCTTCACTAATTGAAGTTCGTATGGCGAAAATATAGATCCATGTTAACGAATCATCATAGTGTTGTTTTCGAAACTACACATTTCAACTGTGTGACTTTAGACCCTTCTAAACTGCAGATGTTCTCAACCTGAAGTTCCTGTAAGTTTCGGAGGAATGGATTTTTCTAAACTTCCTGTTCTAAAAAGCTACATGTAATTAAGTGTCGAAGAATTTCTGGAAGTATTATTTCTCTAGCCTGTGTGAAACAGATCTTAATTTCACGATAAAGTAGAGCAGCACAAAATGTTTTTTTGCCAAATATGTCTGTGCTTAGGTCTAGTACCTGAATATATTTTTTACAACTACGTGCTCACCGTAAATTATACAGCGGATGCGCCACGCACATCCTTTTTAAACTTCAGGTCATTAGACATACATTACATCTAACATACACACTTTTTTCCAGTTTATGGTTTCACAATATATGGCCTGTACTTTAAATAATCAGACCTAGATATGAGCTTTCTGTATTCTTCGCCTAATACCGTGTTCGAAAGTCCTAGAACCCATTACCCAACGTTAGATTGAATTTGAACGGTTTTCGAACCAATGCATTCTCAAGAACTCATGACACAAGACTCCAAGCATGATAACAACTTAGGAGTAGGTCGAGTGCGATTTTCACTGGTTCAGCTATATTAGACAAAGAAAGCAAGCAGCAGAAGTGGATAGATATCAGGGACTGCTTAAGGAACTAGTTTTGTCAGGTCAACAACTAGTGAAGTTTGCCACAGTTCAAATAACGAAATGATCTTAACTAGACCACCACTGAAAACTTGGAAGCACTGGACGGCAGCTCCGTCATAGCATGGTACTCCGCAACAGCGCGCACCCACGTCCCGTACGCGGGAATCGAACCCAGCACTTAGCACACAAACACTTAATTCCTATATCACTGTGCCTCCATCGAACGATGTCCAGCTTCAACCGATCCACTATACTGTCAAACCCTTTCCATCGCCTGATGTGGATAACTCACACTGATCACGGCCTGTCAATAGGACTCAAGGATTTGCAACTTGAAACTATTCACTGGTAAGTACATGATCATTTTAAGTATAAGAATTTGTGGAGATTGTAGAGTCGATTCGAGTTAGACATTACCACTGCTGAACGTAGAATCAGTGGTCCCAAACTAGGATGGAACGGCCGTTCAGGGCTTTCAATGGTGATCTACGATCAGTTCGTAATTTAAACAATTAAAATTCTACATTGTCCACAAAATCCAATGCTTGTTTGTAATCTGTTTGTAGAGTCAAGAAAATTTACAAATCTAATTCCTCGTGACATCTATTCACAGTCATCTGATTTTATCATTTATTCAGTAAGTTAACTCGGATGATACATGTAATTTTTGTCACACTGCCAAGCTGTTATACCTCATATGTGGTAAAAGGGAAAGTCGGCGCAAATCAGAAAGTAACCATTGATTCACATTGCCAGAATTCCACTAGCTTCGAGTACTTACTATTTAGAAACTCCACGATTTGGTACTGTAGTTTTACATTCTGAGGACCAAAAATTTTCAGTGTGCATGATGGTCACCAAACCAAACTGACTCGCAACACGTAACTCAACCGTTTATACTGATAGGCAACAAAAAAATCTCCAGTAGTCGGTTCCATTTGAATATAGTATATTTCCAAGTCATTGCGCATCAAAGACTTGAATGTATTTTTACGTACAACGGCAACAAAATGTAAAAGTCCCTACGAAGGAAAAGCAAGCTTTTCTTCAAGGAGCAGAAACATGTGAACAACGCTACTAATATGAAAAAAAATGAAATACAGAGTGACGCATCAGTGGCACATTGTCAATCACTAATTGTGTTTAGGAAGCTAGTAAGTATCATCTCCACATTTGGTTTTCGAAACACACCTGGGAATCGCTCGAATATTAGGCAGGAGTTTCAAACAATCCTACTGTACAAGGAACCACTACCAAATATTCTGTGGGATGTGAGTCTTATTGATTTCCTGATCCGAATTCAAAAGCCGATGTAATAACAAATACCACCATTATAACAACACATCCTAAGCAAGTAGGAATGCATTTGGCACTAACCATCTAGGTTAAAACTTCGGGCTTGGACAACGGTTAATGTGGAACCTTTACAAAACCACTTGGACTTTTAACGTCAGTAGTAAGCATTTTTAAAGGCACATTATATAATAAACGTTCTTTACGAACAAACGAATTTGCTGCTGTTGACTGGGAACATTCAAAATAAATTACGGCTCATTCTTCAGCTTGGTCCGGTTTTCATATCGAAGATAAAATATTAGGCCTAACAAAGATAATCGATATGGATCTCCTCAAACTATTTAAGACAAGACCTATACACTGACAGAGACTGAAATAAAGTTGGAATCTGCACCACACCACTGGAGTCACATAAAATACCTTAACGGTAATTTGATTGGTGCGATACATACATGGAAATTAAGCAAAACATTTGGCAGCTTTTTTTCTAGTATGGTTGTTATTAGCAATACTTTTAGCCGGATGACGCAGTTTGAGGAGACAGAGAATAGGTATACAAGAATAAGTAATCCATGGTTTACTTGGAAGTACTTTACAGAACTACTGAGATAAAACATCTTTGTTTATTTCGTGAGCTGTAATTTCTAAATAGTTCTATAAAAAGATGTGCTCCCCATGCATAAAGCAGACTAGTGGTGCTTTATATAGGCATATGGAACCCGACTATATCCTAGAAAGCTTCTTCGTCCAATCATTTCCCCCATGAAAAACCAACAGAGTACTTCCGCTGTCACTACAGCATTAACAAGCCCTTCCTGAAAATAAATAAGAGTGCATCAATATATACCTTAACGGAAACATTTTTCCAAGCACCACTTTTGAATGCACAAATCAGTTTTGTTGCTTGTTCGACTGCTGGCTTGAGATCCGCTTGTGTTGGTGGCCTTAGTTCCACCCTTGCATATTCTCGAAACTTAATTAATCTTGGTGAAGTTTCCTGAATAACGAAGGCAGAGACCTCTACAGGGCTCAAGAGAGAAAGAAAACATACTCGAAGCCAAATTGATCACCCTGGTTAATCTATCTGCCATTTTAGTGGCCGCCAACAAGTTATTGACCTTGTTAAGTTTTCAATGTAATCTCAATTAACTCGAAATTCACAGCTTCCGGCTTTTTTTTAAACTTGGCGTAATGGGTGCTAGCTTCCAATTTTATGGGACCGGGCTTCGTCTTAGAGATTGTGAAAATATCACAGTGAGCGGTCTTGCCAAAATTAAAGCCGCTTCTCCTAGAATAGTAGAGTGAACCACATCCATTTCTAGAGAATTGTCTTAGTCTAGATGCTGCAGTTTCTAAGACAACAATTCAGCGCTCAGGTTTACTCGTGAGAGTCCTAATGAGTTGTAAATTAAGCTCTCATTCATTCAGTTTGTACATGACGGTTGAAAATTTTGAAAATACTGTTCTTTCTGTTCGGCGGTATCACCATCGTTGTTGGTTAGACCATTGAGACTGTAGCGGTAAAAAATAAATCCCCAAAATAAATAGCTCTGTAGGTTTTCGACATTGGATGCTGACCAAATTAGTTTTAGTGGACTCACCTAGCTGAAGGCGCTCGGTCATGCATCCGCACCAGATCACGTGTGGTAACGCCGTGCTCAACATCAACCGAAATCGCTAGTCAAACTAGATCAGACAATTTTGATATATTGACAATCGTCAAATACTACTTCCGATCTCCTCGACTCTGTGTCTTTTGATTTCTCTGGGTGGGAACGAAATATATTAGGTGTTACTGGTAGAAGCGTTGTCAAACACTGAATACCTGTGACATCATCATTGGTGAGACCAACGTGATCTGGTACACCGAATTGCAACTGTGAGTCTGTTCCTTTTTGGGATTTTTATATATCATTGCCTTATTTTTTATTTTTTTTAGAAACATTGTGATTTTTTTCGTGTTTTTTTCTTGTATATATATATATTTTTTCCCCTCGTTCATGATCGTACTTCATACTTCATCATGACTGAACAGACACCTAAAGTACTCAAGCTTAAGACTTTGTCCACGCCTACGTTTCAACTGATGCCTTTCTGGCCCGACAACATCGAAGCCTGGTTCTGCTACTCAGAAGCCGACTTCCACGAGCACGGCGTGATCGACATACGTGCACAACTCCTCGCAGTAGTCAAGGTACGTAACACCTAGTATGTTTACTAGTGATGTTTCCGATCCTTACGAAGTCTTAAAACGCTCGATTCTCAAACGAGGAGACCTAACCGATCGACAAAGGTTAGATCAACTCTTCAATAAGATTGACCTGCAACACGGTTCTGCGACGGACATGTTGCAACGGATGAGAGAGGTGATAGGCCCAAGAACTTTCGACGAAGGTCTATTCAAACAACTCTTCTTGTCAAAACTTCCCCAACAGGTGCAAGCAGTTCTGGTCTCGTTCCAGAACAACGCCTTAGACGAGCTAGCTGCATCTGCCGACCGCATTTTAGAAATTACAAAACCTTCTACTACCGAGGTATTTTCAGTCAAAGAAAAACCTCAAACGACTCAGAATGATATAAACGACTTATGTCACACACTCACGCGTTATCTTAGTCTTCGTAACGACCGTAAGAGATCGCGCACACCACGTAGAAGCATTTCTCGTAAGCGATCTGTCTCTAGACCACGAGAGACAGATAACCCCGACTGGTGCTGGTATCATAACCAGTGTGGAAAGTTTTCCAGAAATTGCAGAAAAGCCTGCAATTTTCCCGACACGAAACCGACTGATTCGAAAAACAATTCGGGGAACTTCCAAGCCGGCACGCGTTAACGGCAACCGTAGCCGGCGAACAAAGCCGTCTGTTATTCGTCACAGATGTGACAACGAGAGTTCGCTATCTCGTCGACACTGGCGCAGAAGTTAGCGTCCTTCCAGCAAATCCTAACGACCGACTTCACGAATCGACCCTAAACTTACAGGCGGCAAACGGAAAACCGATCGCTACGAATGGCGAAAGGTACGTTTACTTTAACGTGGGTTTACGCAAACCCATTCACTGGATTTTCGTTGTTGCAGATGTTTCTATGCCAATCATTGGTATGGATCTTCTAAAACATCACAATCTGATCATCGATACGCGCAAACGGAGGCTAGTAGACGGAAACACTAATTTTTCCGTTTGCATAACTTCCTTCTCTGGTTGTAGATTATCCCCAGTCACAATTTAGCATATGATAGACCCACTCTATCAACCACTACTCGATAAATACCCTGGGATACAACAAACTCAACCGAAACTACCGTGTGTAACCAGCAATGTTACACATCACATCACGACTACAGGACCACCTGTATTTTCTAAAGCACGACGACTAGCTCCCGAAAAGCTAAGGTTAGCGAAAAACGAGTTTGACCATATGATAGACTAAGGAATCATACGACCGTCAAGTAGCCCATATGCATCTCCTTTGCACATGGTCCCTAAAAAGGACAGCAACGATTGGCGTCCAACTGGTGACTATCGGCGATTGAACGCGAAAACCATTCCCGATTGTTACCCGTTGCCTCACATTCATGATTTGACAGCTACCTTCAAAGGTGCAACTGTCCTTTCGAAAATCAACTTGGTTAAAGCGTATAACCAAATCCCTATGGCTACAGACGATATACCGAAAACAGCTATCATTACTATCTTTTGACGCTATGAATTTTGCCAATGCCTTTCGGTCTAAGAAACGCTGCTCAAACATTCCAAAGATTCATAGACGACGTTTTTCGAGGTCCCAACTTCGTACATGTGTATGTTGACGACTGTCTAATCGCAAGTCCAGACAGAGAATCGAATCTCAAGCATCTGGATCTTGTTTTCGACCGACTACAAAAACATGGCATTGCTGTAAACGTTCAGAAATGCTAATTCAGAACAGACTCATTAGATTTTTTAGGACACACTATCGATGCTCAAGGTATCCGACCCCTTAGAACCAAAGTGGTGGCCATTCTGGATTACCCAGAACCGACCACCGTCAAGCAATTACGCACGTTCAACGGCCTCGTAAGTTTCTATAGACGTTTCATACCGAAATGCGCATTACTTATGAAACCTCTGACCGACCAACTTCGTGGAAATGCGAAATCCACTAATTTGGACGACAGCGTACGAAAAGCATTTTCCACAATTAAGGAACTTATCGCCGAAGCAACAATGCTTGCTCATCAGGACACCGAAGCACCCATTAGTATCGCAGTAGACGCATCCGACTCAGCAATCGGAGGAGTCTTACAACAACGGGTTAACAACTCCTGGCGACCTTTGGTAGTTTTCTCTAGACGGTCGCTAGACACCGAATCGAGGTACAGCACATTCGGTAGGAAACTCCTAGCTATGTATTGTGCTGTACGGCATTTTCAACACTACATCGAAGGCCGTGAATTCACCCTTTTCACTCACCATAAACCTCTTACTTTCTCCTCAATCTCTTCTTCAGACAAGTACTCACCTCGTAAGTATCGACAACTGGACTACATTTCGCAGTTTACTTCAGACATTCAACACATCTCTGGAGCAAACAATGTAGTTGCAGACGCTTTGTCTTACATAACTCCCTTGAACAGTTTCCAAGGCATCGACCTTCTTAAACTCGCCGAGCTTCAAAAAGAAGACAGTGATCTTCAGCACGAGTTATCGTCTACAACACTCAAGCTATACATCAAACAGACGGGGAACAGGAAAGGAAACCTTACTTTGTGACATATCTACAGGTAGGGATTGCCCAATCGTGCCGAAATATTATCGACGCAACGTCTTCAACACATTGCACAAACTTCCTCATCCAGGTGTTCGTGCAACCATCAAGCTTATAGCAGAACGGTTTTGCTGGCCTGGCATGAATAAAGACGTGAGGGAGTGGGCACGCTCCTGTGTAAGCTGCCAAAAATCTAAGGTTATCAGACACAATAAATGTCCCTTAGGCTCATTTAAAACTCCCGATGCTCGTTTCGACCATGTTCATCTGCATCTGGTAGGACCTTTACCAGATTCAAATGGCTACTCTTATCTCTTAACCTGCGTAGACCGTTTCACTCGATGGCCAGAAGCAGTACCTATCAAGGACATCACTGCTGAAACAGTGGCCCGCGCCTTCGTCGGACGATGGGTAGCAAACTTCGGCTGCCCTTCAACCATCACTACAGACCGCGGACGTCTGTTTGAATCCGAACTTTTCCGTCGTCTGACCACACATTTAGAAATCACTCGCTTCGGAACAACTGCCTACCACCCACAAGCAAACGGGTTGGTAGAACGCTTTCACCGACAAATAAAAGCTTCACTATCAGCTGCAGACGTTTCACAGTGGACCGACGCTCTTCCACTCGTCTTACTAGGTATTCGCAATGCTGTGGAAGCTGACTTCGGATACAATGCGGCTCAACCCGTTTATGGAACGACACATCGACTTCCAGGAGAATTCGTGGATCCTTCATCCTCTTCAATGAGCATGGATCTAACCTCCTACACGAACAGGCTTACAAACGCAATGCGTTCAGTTAAACCTGATTCCACTCGACAACAATCCACCGATGTTTTCGTTCAACCTGACTTACGATATAGTACACACGTCTTTGTACGTCGAGACTCGCATCGACGACCATTCGAATCAGCATATGAAGGACCTTTCAAAGTTCTTCAATGTGAATCTAAGTACTATATAGTCGGTAAGAACGGAACAAACGATAGCATCAGGATCGATCGCTTAAAAGCAGAGTATTTAGAAGGAAATCCTATTCACTTCGATTTCCTTTCGGTACAATCGCACAACACGACAATACGACTCCCTAGTTCATTTGATACATCTCCCACTAGGTCTAGCTATCAAAATACCGAGCTAATGAAGGAAATTCAATCCCTCACTTCAAACTCATCTAACACCCGCGAGGGTTACGACGACTTTATCCGAGATACCCTCACCCATTTTAACTTAGTAGGCCACTTGCTTAATATATGTCTTATCAACGCTTGTTTGTATCCATATATCAACCATCACTTACAAGGATATCTGGAACATGGACAAACAGTAATATTTCCGACCGAAGTATATCTCTTGATAGCT